GTGCCTATGCGCAGGCTTGCGGGATCCGGGGACGTCCTCCAGCCTATGAGGAAATGGTCCTCTCTGGTTAGCTCGAGTCCTCACGGGGACTCGCGTAGTGGCTCGACCTTGAGACGGGCATAGGCAACCGGTGCATGTGCGATCTTCGGCGGCGGTGAGCATTGGCACATGCTTGCCTGTGTGGAGTGAGCCATGTGCAGCCTACAGCTAGTCGGCCAAGGGAGCGGGTGGCAGCGCAAAACTTGACAGCAGAGAAGACGCGTCAGTATAGAGGCTGATCTCAGGACCGTCACAATAGATAATCTACTGTAGTTCTGTGCACAATAAATTCCTCCCACGTGTGTCTTCTGTCTTCTCGTACAGCCCAATATTAGGTCTGATGATCGTAGTGTCCTGAGCAAAAACACTGCTTAATCGCTACATGTTCTTCTTTTACGAAATACCTCATGCCTGCTGAAACCAAGAACTTGTATGGTGCTAATTTTTTTCGCGCATTTAGTTCACTCAGCCTTGCGGAAATCTGTGGGAGCATCCAATAAAATCGTATTCCCATGCAGTTAATTAATCGACAAACTATCGGGTTAAGCTCCGCTAGCAGTGAATGAATCTATTTTATAACTACTTACCTGGAATCCGATTTAAAGGTGAAAACTCTAGTTTGTCTTTTGAGTACAGTTTTCCCATCCCTGATAGCTCCATAAGGTGTATTGTGGTTTCGACGTTATGTGGGAGAACACATTACCTTGGTTTTGCCAATGGAACCCTTTTCTTACGCTATACATCGCAGAAGTTCGATCGTTGCTCTTGACAATGTCAACCGTGAGCTTCAACAAGCTGAATGCGGACGCGGTGACTATGGCAGTGGCGCTCTCGAGTCCCATAGACAAAGGAGATTGGAATGGCAATTTCTGACTTATTAGCCGTTATTAGTCAGCCATGTCCAACTAATTATATACAGGGTGTCCCCAAAAATGTATACACATTTTAAATAATTGTAAACTTGGTCTTTATCATAATTTTGTTATTTCAAAATTGTAAAAATATTTACAAGTATCATCTCATTGTTCTTTTTTCACTGCATTTTA